AATCACTGCCTCCAGGAATAGATTGGCTTCTGGGGCACCAAACTGGTACCCACATCTTATCCTACCAGTATCTCTAGCATGCTGTACTTTGGCAGGCTGAGACACAGAACTGAGCTTAGGCAGTCATTATGGCCAGTTTAATACCTGACCTGAGTTGGCTAGGCCCATCTCTCTCTCTTCTCCTTAACTACCAATGGGCTAATCATTCCTCCTAAACAGGGGTTCAGCAGAATCCAGTTATCAGTAAGTTAAAGAACCTGTATGGAAAAACTAATATTCTTTTGATTAACCCTCATTTTGATCCTCTCAGGGATGAAATGCTGCTTTATGTTTTGAAAATGGAACTTTTTGGCTGAGCATGGTGGCTCACACCAATAATCCCAGCACTTTGTGAGGCTGAGACAAGAGGATCACCTGAGGTCAGGAGTTTGAGACCAGCGTGGCCAACATGGTAAAACCCTGTCTCTACTAAAAACACAAAAATTAGCTAGGCATGGTGGTGGGCACCTGTAATCCAAGCTACTTGGGAGGCTGAGACAGGAGAATTGCTTGAACTAGGAGGCGGAAGTTGCAGTGAGCCAAGACCGTGCCATTGCACTCCAGCCTGGGCAAGAAGGGCGAAACTCCGTCTCAAAAACAAAAAGAAAAAAGAAAATGGAACTTTTGTACACAAAGAAAAGGGTTTGGGTCTTTAGAATAGAAGAGAAACAAACACTCTGGAATCTGGAAATGTGGGTTTAAGTGTTTGTGACACCACCTGGTAGTCCCAAAACCCTTGGCGTATCTCAAATCCTCTGAACCTCAGCTTCCTCAATCACAAATAGGGAATACTAATAAAACCTTCCTCACAAATGTGAGATTCAAAATGCTCTTTGGAATCACAGCCACTTATCATAGTATCAATGTTTACATACAATTAAGACTATACAATTTTAAATTACCTACCCCTAAAGCACAAATAGTGGAGTAAGAAATGGAACCCAGGAGCTCAGATAGCATAGGCCAACCTCAGTATAGCTTAGGCAGGCCTGGATCAGCAGCTGTACTTCCCCACTCACAAACTGTGGAATCCTAGGAAAGTTCCTTAGCCTCTCTGAGCCTCAGTATCATTTATCAAATGGGGTTAACTTCATCTAATTCCCAGGCCGACTGTTAGTAATAAATAAGATGATGCAGGTAAAGGGTTTTAAACAGAGGCTGCTGTATGGTAAGGGCTGAATAAACAGTAGCCTTTTCTACTGGTAGCTCTTTTCCCAAGTCCTCTTTTCTATTTATTCCTCTAAAGGAAGAAGCCATTAACAAAGCCTAAATTACCTGTCAACTTCTAGAGAAAGCATTAATGAAACCAGACAAAAAAACGAGAAAAGGAATATGAATGAATGCTATTCCAAATTACGTATCATGCTAATAGCATCTAATATTGGAAAACATAGGTATAATATCCTATATTCCCAAGAAGTAGAAACTCCAACTTAGCCAGGCTACCTATTACCCTATTAAAATCTGGGCTCCACAATAGAGTCTATCAACCAAACAAAGTGCTACAGAGAGGGTAACGCTGACGCCACATGTAAACCACTGCTCTTTCGTAAACCCAACCTTTTTCAGCTCAAACCCATCTCTATCATAAAGACTTTACCGACTCCCCCTAGCAGACTCAAAGCGCTTATCTCTTGTGCCCCACTGCATTTGTTACACGTCTCCATTACAGCAATTATCTAGTATTATAATATGCTATTTGCATGTCTCTTCACTCAGCTGTAAATTGATAAAGATACTGTTTTACTTATCTTTGAATTCTCAGTGCATGACACACGGTAGACCCCATAATTACATGTTAAATGACGAATTTCACCTTCTCTTTCACAAGCTAAGGCTGCAAAGAAACAGCTGGAGAGGCCTGGCGTGGTGGCTCACGCCTGTAATCCAAGCACTTTGGAGGCCAAGGCGGGTGGATCACCTGAGGTTGGGAGTTCAACACCAGCCTGGCCAACATGGTGAAACCTTGTCTTGAAGAAAAAGAAACAGCTGGAGAGACATTAGTAGAAACTTGAATACAAACTAAGGCCCGACCAGACCTCTGTTATTTTTGCAGCTTGAAGGGATGACTGTTCCTGCTTCTCATAGCTTACTTTCTCAAACATACAACAACAAAAAAGATAGAACCAGTCCACGCAGCATTTCCAGACAACAAATCATACTTTTTCTCAGAAAATGAAACAAGTAACAAGGTTTCTTGGATGAATGCTAGTGGTTTCATAAAAAGTTAACTTCTAGGCATGATACTCTGCAAAATCTATTATACTACTAGAAGCTCTTACGTCCTTAAAACAATAAAGAAAAGCTAAGAAACAAAATTTAAAAGTAACCAAATGAAAATGTTATTTTCACCGGGCGCAGTGGCTCACGCCTGTAATCCCAGCACATTGGGAGGCCGAGGCGGGTGGATCACGAGGTCAAGAGATCGAGACCATCCTGGTCAACATGGTGAAACCTCGTCTCTACTAAAACTACAAAAAATTAGCTGGGCATGGTGGTGCGTGCTTGTAATCCCAGCTACTCAGGAGGCTGAGGCAGGAGAATTGCCTGAACCTAGGAGGCGGAGGCTGCGGTGAGCCGAGATCGCGCCATTGCACTCCAGCCTGGGTAACAAGAGTGAAACTCTGTCTCAAAAAAAAAAAAAAAAAAATGTTATTTTCTTGGCCAGGTGTGGTGGCTCATGCCTATAATCCCAGCACTTTGAGAGGACAAGGTGGGCAGATCACCTGAGGTCAGGAGTTCAAGGCCAGCCTGACCAATGGAGAAACCCCCGTCTTGACTAAAAACACAAAAAATTAGCCGGGTGTGGTAGTGCATGCTTGTAATCCCAGCTACTCAGGAGGCTGAGGCAGGAGAATCGCTTGAACCTGGGAGGCAGCAGTTACAATGAGCCGAGATCATACCATTGCACCACAGCCTGGGCAATAAGATCGAAACTCCATCTCAAAAGAAAAGAAAATGTTATTTTCTCTTCTGCCAAAACTTCTGCTCTTTATCTTGTTGAACCTTGACATATGTAACTAAAGCTTTCTTTGAGATATACATAAATGTCTCAAGGGAGAGCCCATAAATAAGAACTTCAATACAGTATTTACCCTTTCCAAAGTGCCTTCAAATATATCTCAATGAACCACAGCCAACTGTAATCACAGAAAAGTAAAAGCTAGGAGGGATCTTGGAGGTCATTTCCATAATCACCCCACCTAACCAACCAACACCTGTAGTCTCTAGTAATTGGGAGGCAGAGGACTACAACGTTTCTTTAAAAATTCCCCTGCTGTGATCACCTGTCGATTTCTCAGTCTCTTCCTCCTACCTTAATGATCCCAATCAGGTAATCCAACTCCTCCAGCTCATCCTACTACCAAGCAACAGTCTTCTTGCTTCCTAAGTCCACTTCTCCCTTTCTCTGAACCTCATCTTCAGTCATCCCCAATCCTCACCACTCTTCCCCCACCCAACACACAGCAAGGGGCCTCTCAGACTCTGACCCCTCAGAGATCTCACTGGCTCTATCTCTGACAACCAATTCCCTTCCTCCTATTCCTTTTTGCCGTCTCTGTCCATATGCTGGTACGTGCAAGATCACAAACGCCTCTAGCTATCAATTCTACAGCTTCAGAATCTTTTCATTTTCCTTTCTCACCCTACTAGACAGGTAAAGAGGACATACAATCTCAAGGAGCTCACCTTCAAGGAACTCTTAAGTCTAGAAGGAGAGAGAGACACTTATTTATCATTTAAGACTCAGCAACTACGGGAGACTTCCCTATCCCAAGCTGAACTGTTGCACTCTTCTCAGTGTCACGATTATGCCTCTAATGCAATACCTAGTCTTCTTGTCTGTCTCCCACCACTAGACTGTGGGCTCTTCAACGGAGGCACCCTTTGTCTCCCTAGCACTTGGCCCACGACCCGGAGCAAAGGTCATACTTAATGTTCATTAAGTGAATAAATGTACGAATTCAGGCAGACAATCATTCATTCATCCACCTGTTCCTTCATTCGTTGACCAAAACTTTACTGAGCCCGCATTAGATACAAGTCTTAGAATGTAAGGGTAAATAAAACAGTTCCTACTTTAAGATAACTCAAAGCTATACTACCAATGGATTAGCCCTCTTTTCCGGTCTGTGTCCCCAACCCCCATCCTAGGCTTAGACAGAGTCCTCTCTCACAGTGGAAGCCCGGCCTTCCCCTGCAAAAATTCACGCCCCTCCAACTCAAACTACCTCTCAGCCCTTCAGTCCTACCCTAAGACCCCCAGCTAGTAATCGCAAAATCTTAACACACCCACCCCTCCAACCTCTCTATCCTCCATCTCCACCCCTGAGGCTAAAGCAAGTCTTCCACTCCCAAGGCCGCCTCGGAGTCCCCAAGTCAGGAGTGCCTCTGACTTCCCTCTCCACGCACCCGCCCCCTAATCAGCTCCTTCCCTCTCAGGATCTTTCCCATCTCTCCTAAGACCCCTTCCTCCCGACACCTCACTGCCCCTCCCCTCAGCTTCAGACTGAGTCTCTCCTCGTCTCTCAACTCCGCTTACTTCATCCATCTCCCGTTCCACAGCAGCACCACCTCCAACCTCAACCTCCACCACTGCCGCCATCTTCACGGCTCGCCCCCACACCGCAGTCCCCGCGCGAGCCAGCTGCTTCCGCCGCTCAAGTGCTCCTAGCCAATGGGCGGCTTGGGCTTCAGCAGAGGGGGCGGGGCATCCAAACAGGCGGAGACTATCAGGGATCAGGAGGTTATCTACCTGCTGCACGTTTCAGGATCAAGGAGAGAGGAGTCCCGTGCCCTTCCAAGCTTCAGCAAGGGAGCGTTCTTGGAAAATGAGAAATTTGAATCGCATTGTTCTCAGTGCGACTATGTAACCAGTTCTTCTCTTTGGAGCGCCAAATGGGAGCGTTCCTAAACGGGCAACTTTCGCGACGCTCCCTCAGTCTCGGCTCCGTGGAGCGAGACGTGCGGACCAGGAACTACGTTTCCCAAGCTGCACTGAGGCTGACCCAGAAGTTTAAATTCCGCTCCCTCTACGAAAGAATTGTAGTGAGTGAAAATAAACATTAAAACACACGCAAATGTATTTTCCTGGCTGCAGCACCTGCCTTCTTGCCTCGGTAGGAATCATTTTCAAAAACAGCAGCTTCTTGAAGCCCCAGAATGCATTCCTGTGCTACGGAAGGCGGAAGAGCGTCTCTCGGGGTCATAAGGCGAAGGTCAGAGGGCCGAATTGGCGGGAGAAGAGATTGGTGGTCCACGATCGGAGGCAATGGTGGCTCCTTGAGGTCCACGGTCCCGGGTGAGGGGCGTTGGAATTTGTTGATGGGGAGGGGAGTGGCCGAGAGGGAGGAGTGGGTGGCCATCAAGGAAACGTACGGAGCAGCCTGTTCCGATGAACCGTGGAAGCAGCGATGCGACTTGAGCTCCTGAAACAGAGCTCAAGAGCCTTGTGGGTGGGACCTCCATGGCCCCCACATACAGCTTCTTACTTATGCTGTCAGGCGACTTCACACATCTCGGCACACCTTTCTACACCACATCCTGCGTCCCCAGTTCCTACCTTACCCTCCTTTTTATACACCATTCACTGCCCCATCCCCACGTATACCTTCGTAACTGACTTTTCAACACCCTGTGAACTCGTTACTTTGCAAGGCTGTAGCTCCAGCTCACACGCCTCTGGGCATCTGCCTGGATCTGTCTGGTGAAAGAAACTAGGATGGCCTGTGAGCCCATAGAACCCCTAGAAAAGTCAGCTTTATATTGGGACCAACGGGAAATTACAGGGTATTGTTTACATCATCTACGGGCATCTCATTTACTTAAAAATAATTATTTTTATTTTACAAAACTTAATAGGGAAATATTATAAAAACTGTACACCCATCACCCTAAATTGACTTGACATTATGATGTGTTTGCATACTCATTTTTTAAAAGCTAGACAATACAATGAAAGTTAAGTTTGGCCAGGCACGGTGGCTCACGCCTGTAATCCAGCACTTTGGGAGGCCAAGGCAGATGGATCACAAAATCAGTTCAAGAGCAGCCTGGCCAACATAGCGAAATCCTGTCTCTACTAAAAATACAAAAAAAAAATTTAGCTGGGCATGGTGGCGGGCACCTGTAATCCCAGCTACTTGGGAAGCTGAGGCAGGAGAATGGCTTGAACCCGGGAGGCGGAGGCTGCATTGAGCCTAGTTCGGGCCACTGCACTCCAGCCTGGGCGTCACAGCAAGACTCTGCCTCAGAAAAAAAAAAAAAAAAAAAAGATTACACTTGCATTTTCTATTCTCAAGCGCATCCTCTCCAGAAGCAACTATTATGAATTAGAATTAGCTGTGTGTTCTCCAATCCCTTTTTAAAAATTGTACATATCCATGACTATATAGTATTGTATTGTGTTTCATTTTGCTTTTTAATTTGAGTGCTTTTTGTTTTCTTTGAGACGGTGTCTCGCTTTGTCATCAAGGCTGGAGTGCAGTGATGCAACCTGGGCTCGCTGCAGCCTTCTCCTCCCAGGTTCAATCGATTCTCATGTCTCAGCCTCCCGAGTAGCTGGGACTATGGGCGCGCGCCACCATGCTTGTATTTTTAATAGAGATGGGGTTTCACCATGTTAGCCTGATCTCAAGTGAGCCTCCGCCTCCCAAAGTGCTGGGATTACAAGCTGAGCCACTGTGCCTGGCCTGAGTGATACAGGATCTGGCTCTGTTCCCCAGGCTGGAGTGCAGTGGCAAGATCTTGGCTCACTGCAGCCTCAATCTCCCGAGTAATTGGGACCACAGCTGTGCGCCACCATGCCCAGCTAATTTTTGTGTGTATTTGTAGAGAGGGGGTTTCACCACGTTGGCCAGGCTGTTCTCAAACTCCTGAGGTCCAGTGATCTGCCCTCCTCCACCTCCCAAAGTGCTGGAATTACAGGCTTGAGCAACCGTGCCCTTGTTACTAAGTGCTATTTTCTATGTATCATTATGTAACTTGATTATTTCACACTATATATTTTTTAAATTTTATAAATGGAGATGGGGTTTCACCATGTTGCCCAGGCTGGACTTGAACTCCTGGGCTCAAGCAGTTCACCTGCCTTGGCTTCCCAAAGTGCAGGGATTACAGGCATGAGCCACAGTGTCTGGCCATAATATTTTTGAAGCCTGTTCATGTTTACATATGTTTATGTCTAATTCATACTTTTAACTGTTGTGTAGTGCTGTATTGTGTGGTTTTATAAAATTTCATTTATTCGTTCCTCAATTGATGGACATTAGAGTTTTATAATTTTTGCATTTAGAAACACTGTATGTCTTTTTGTACACATACAAATAAATTAGCTACTAGCCAGATGTGCCTATTATATTCTTGAAATGTGGCCAGTCAGAATTGAGATGTGCTGAATGTGTTTCTGAGGGGGACCCATTTCCCCACATTGTAGCCAGTCATTTATATTATCAGACTTTTAAGTTTTTGCCAGTCCTAGAGGTGAGAAATTGTATTTGTAATTTCCTTATAGTACGGCAGGTTGAAGATTTTTTTACATGGGTTTTTGGCCATTCGGATTCCATCATATGTGAGTTGTCTGTTTATATTTTCTCCCCAGTTTCTGTCAGATTGCTTTCCCTTACTGATTTGTCATTTTAAAAAATACGTATTTTCTACGTGCTGTCAAAGTTTACATGTGTTGCAAAGATCTTTTTGTTAAGCATTTGTATTTTAACCTGGTTTGTGCCTTCTTACTGTTTTTCATATTTCTGTCTTTGATCCATTTGGGAATACAGATATTTTTTGAGACAGAGTCCCACTCTGTCACCCAGGCTGAAGTGCAATGGTGTGAGCACTGCTCACTGTAGCCTCCATCTCCCAAGCTCAAGCAAATCTTTCACCTCAGCCTTCTGAGTAGCTGGGACTATAGGCATGTGCCACCACACCTGGCAAATTTTTAAAAATATTTTGTAGAGATGGGGTCCCGCTATGTTGCTGGTCTTGAACTCCTGGGTTCAAGCAATCCTCCTGAGCCTCTGCCTCCCAGAGTACTGAGATTACAGGCGTAAGCCACTGTGCCCAGCCTTTTAGGTGTAATTATTTATTTTTATTTCATTTTATTTTTTGAGACAGAGTCTCAATCTGTCACTCAGGCTAGAGTGCAGAGGGGTGATCTTGGCTTACTGCAACCTTCGCCTCCCAGGTTCAAGCAATTATCCTGCCTCAGCCTCCCTGGTAGCTGGGATTACTGGCATGTGCCACCAGGCCCAGCTAATTTTTGTATTTTGAGTAGAGACAGGGTTTTTACTGACCATTTTGGCCAGGCTGGTCTTGAACTCCTGACTGCAAGTGATCCACCCACCTCAGCATCCCAGAGTGCTGGGATTACAGGTGTAAGCCATCTCACCCAGTCTAGGTATAATTCTTTAAATATGCTGTGAGGTAGGGATCTACTTTTATTTTGCTTCACATTGTCAACCAATTTCCTGAACATAACTTATTACTTTATTGTTTCTGACAGAAACATGATGTTGCTCTGAAGTGTGGGAGATCATGAGCATGACAAAAATCCACATCCTTAAAGAGCTCACTACTTAGTGAGGAGGCACACAGGGTAAAAAAGCAATTACCAGCCAGGCGCGGTGGCTCAAGCCTGTAATCCCAGCACTTTGGGAGGCCGAGGCGGGTGGATCACGAGGTCAAGAGATCGAGACCATCCTGGTCAACATGGTGGAACCCCGTCTCTACTAAAAATACAAAAAATTAGCTGGGCATGGTGGTGCGTGCCTGTAATCCCGGCTACTCAGGAGGCTGAGGCAGGAGAATTGCCTGAACCCAG